GCCGGTGTGAGCCCGCGCTCTGCCCGCAGAGCTCGCGCCACTCCAAGCTGGAGAAGGCCGACATCCTGGAGATGACCGTGAAGCACCTGCGGAGCCTGCAGCGCGCGCAGATGACCGGTGAGTGCGTGCCCCGCGGTGKGCTCTGCTGCTCCTCTGCATCCCTGGTGCTGCCAGGCATTCCCGGTGCTGGGGGGGCCCCAAGAGGACRCCAGGGCTCTGTGCTCCCGGCCTGCATGCCCAGTGCTGCGGAGCACAGGAGGATGCACCAGGCACCAGCGTTCCCTGCTTGCGTCTCTGGTGCTTGGGCCGTGGGATGTGCTACCTGCTGGGCATCTTCTCCATCTGGATCCTGGCACCTAGGAGGGGCTGCGCTCCCTGTCTGGATGCCCAGCGCGGAGCAGCGCTGGTGGGCTGCACCGGCCGCCCTGCGGAGCCTGCTGTCCTGACGGCTCTGTGCCTCTCTCRCCCTGCAGCTGCGCTGAGCACCGACCCCACGGTGCTGGGCAAGTACCGCGCCGGCTTCAGCGAGTGCATGAACGAGGTGACACGGTTCCTCTCGACCTGCGAGGGTGTCAACACGGAGGTGCGCACTCGGCTCCTGGGCCACCTGGCCAGCTGCATGACCCAGATCAACGCCATGAACTACCCGGCGCCCCCACCGCCGCCACCGCTGCCGCCGGCCGCAGCCTTCGGGCCCCCACTGGTGCCGCCGGGCGGCGCGGCGCCGCTCCCGGGCATGCCCTGCAAGCCGGGCGCCGACGCGGCCAAGGTGTACGGCGGCTTCCAGCTGCTGCCAGCCTCTGACGGGCAGTTCGCCTTCCTCATCCCGAGCAGCGCCTTTGGGCCTGGCGGGGCCGTGCTGCCCCTGTACGGCGGCCCAGCCACGGCCGCCTCGCCGCCTGGCCCGCCACCYGGCACAGCCGACTCGGTCTGGAGACCGTGGTGAGGGTGGTGGGCACTGGACTGGACTGAGCACTGCACCCCGTGCTGCTGGCACGGCTGTACATAGGTTATATGTTCATATTGGATTGTGCCTTTGTACCATAGCACTCCCTTGACAGCGTTTCGTGTTTTACACGAGATCTATCTCTTCTTCCCCTTGTTCTCCTTCCTTATGTGACACCAAAGATCGAGGTTTTTTTTTTTGAATGCTCTTAAAAAATAAAAGCATCCCTTCCATTTTGGAAGGTTTTTTGGAGATAACTTGGAGTACTGGCATATGTGCATAGGAGGGATCCCAGCTCCTGGCTTGCTCCTGGACAGCTGTGGACTCTGCTGCTTTACATCTGCTCCAGGGTTGCCTTGTTTTGCTCTCCAGACTGGAGCTGCTGCTTAGACCCTCTTTCTTTCTAATACTTTCTCATGTGAAATTGTCTGGCCCCTCTCCCTGGCCCTTGGAGATGTAGTTGCTGCTTCCTTGAGTGCAGTTAAGGAGATCAGAGTTGTTAAAAAGATGTTGTGTTTGCAGAACTCGTGAACATGCTGAGGGAGACCGCTCTGCTCTGCTCCTGGCGCTCTGGGCTCCCCCTGCTCGGGCTGGCTGGCATAGCCCAGGTAAAGTGAGATGGATTCAGCACAGAGTCTTAACATCCCAGCTCCGAGTTTAACCCGCCTGCGTGAGCCTCCTGCCCTGGAACCAGAGGGGCCCRTTTCCAGGCCACGGTGCAAACTGCGAATGACTCCAGTCAGTTGATTTACAGGAGGGTGCCTGCCAGCTTCTCGTGTTACAGAAATAGTGGCTCTCCACAAGACAAATCTGACGTGAGTGCTTCTGTCTCCTGGCTGACAGGCTGGAGCAAGCACTTGCACACTGCTGGGTACCACCTCCACCTGGACTTAAAAGCAAGGAGCCTGTCTCAGCCTTGAACACAAGTCAGGCGGTGCTTGATGATTAATGCTCTGCATGTGTTTTTGATAGAGTTGGGCATTTCCTCTGCTTTAATATGGAAAACATGTGTCTGAGGGAGTAACGTGGGGCTGTGTGGACTATCTCCCTTTATAACCACAAGCAGCAACTGACCCCTTTGACTTGGTCATGCCCCATTTCCAGGCAAGATGCAAGCACTAGATAGAGGTGAGCGGTAGTCTCGAGTTTCAGCTCATATCACTCTTCTTAGCAAGTCCTAACTCAAAATGGACAGCTTTAAACTGTGCTGGAATCCTTTGGGAATTCCTTCCAAATCCCTCCACGAAAGCTGTTGGATTTTGTCTGGATTTGCCAGGTGTTTGAATGTATCCAGGTGTTGGGCAATTGAAAGCTGTGGAAAGTGTGAGACCAGACAGATCAAACCTGCTGGGGTTTGATCAATCCCCAGCTTTCCCCCTTTTTCCTTTCTACATATTTCAGCTTCCTGCTTGGAAAAATGCTTCTTGAAGTAGTCTTTTCCAGGAGGAGGGAGAGTGGGGTATTTCTAGGGATCTAGCTCTACAGGAATTCCTAAGGATTCAGCCTTAGAGCTGTGCTAATTCCYTTGCAAAGGAGATGGCAGAGGAAGATGCAGCCTCCTGAGAGCCTTTGCTGGGCATGGGGCTGCAGTTGGCCCTGGTGATGCAGCACTCTGCTTTTTGTTGGTGTCTTCATGCTTCTGCCGGCTTGTTGGTTCTGCCACCCCATGGTGGTATCTAGGGCTAGGCTTTGAGTGCCAGGCTTAGGAATGCTAGTTCTGTTGCCTCAAAACAGAGGTGCAGAAGTATGGGCTAAGTTTATGTCCCTTCTGCCAACTGTGTTGTCACCTTTCTGCACTGCCTTATGCTGAAAGTAATGAGGGTAGGACTGAGCTCACCCTGTTTTTCAGAGAAAAAGCTCTCAAGACCTGTCTGGGAATCGCATCACAGCAGCTCCTGCCTCTTGACAGCTTGCCTGGACCTGATACAAACCCAGTAATGTATCACCTGTAAGAACTGAGGCTGTTCCAGCTTTACCAGGATAYTCCTCTTCTGCTGAACCAGTTGGCTTGGAAAGCATGTTTAAGAGAAGAGAGGGAGGGAAGAAAAAAACTTTTTAGTAGTTTAATAAGGAGTGTGTACAGATCCAGGAGCAAACAACACGACAAACCTATTTGCTAATGAAGTTTTAAGTGGATTAGTATAAAGCAGATATRCCATGCTTGGGCCAGTTTCTCCAAAGCAATTTGGATTTATCCTGTCCTGCAGCATGTCAGTGTGAAATAACTAGTTGAGTTTGAGAGTTTTGAGGGGAACAGAGCTTTCCCAGGAGCTGTGTGCTCTTCATAGCATTTCACTTAGCTCCTGACTGAATTTGGATGACCTGTGTAGATTGTGTGTCTGCAGCCTATTAYGTCCAGGACTTGCCCTTTAGGAGCAGCAAGAGCTGTGGACTTGCTCAACCTGCCATGGGATACCATGGGATGAGACTAATTCCCAGGATGGTGGAGGGGGAGCCCAATGCAGGCACCAGGTGYTTGGGGTGGGATGGGGTTAGGTTGTTGGTTTGTGGCTTCTCCTTTCTGAATGAAAAACCAGGATTATTTTCATGGAGGTCTCTGGAGCAGCCATGCACCCTCATGGACAGCAGGTGAGGAAGGAGGTAGGAGACAAATGCTGAGCCTAAGATGTGCAGGAAACTTCCTTGCAAAAACCTCTTTTGCAAATGTGAAGCTGCCGAGAAGCACTGAGTGAAAAACCCACAGAGCAAAGCCATCCTGCATGCAGCTGGCCAGAYTCTCATGCGATGACCAGACTCTGGCCTTCCCGGTGATGTGACCCCACGTGAGGCTGTGTGCCTGAGGGTGAGTGCCAGCAGGTTGGGAAACAAGCRGGACTCCCCAGTTGTGCTCAGGACCACGAGGCTCCTGGGCACAGCTGCCTGGCAGGGCATGGTGGCTCCTGTGCACATGTTGGCAATGAGCTCCAGGAGGCTCCAAAGCGGTTTGTTGAAGTCTGTTACATGCTTTTGCAGCCCAGAGTGTGCACTGGCTGGGATGTGTTACAAGTGCTGAGCCAGGGCAGACGGCTTGGAGGGAGGCAGAGGGACTCCATCCCTACCTGCCCACCAGTGTGCCCTGAAGGGCTGTGCACCGAAGCTGTGCAGCACCTGTGCATGGGTCCAGGGAGTGCCTGGGTCTGTGGGGAAGGGCCCACCCCACTATGCGGGCAAGAGGAGCCCAGTGTCTCTAAGCAGTGTGCAATGCACCTCACGGCGTGCTGATCCATGACCTGCCACAGGATTTATTTCCCCTCTTTGTCACTTGCATCTCAGCAGCTTGCTTCTATCGGCCGCCGCTGCCATGCCGGGAAACCTGTCATTAAAGTCAATTAACTTTTCCCACACTCCTTGCGTACGGTGCAAACCCCTCCTTGCTTCCTCCTTGGCTCTTAAGTGCTACCATATGGCACGGGCCCCGGCGCTCCCCCTGCCTCTGTGCTGCCTTTGATTCCCGTCAGACAGCCAGAGCTTTATGATTTAAGCCGAGCGAGCTCTCGTACCAAGCCCTGGGCTGCTCTGCGGCCAAGGTGGTTTTTTTAGCAGGCAAGGCTGTTTTCTGGCAGGAAATGAATAGCTCCCAGATGAGCTCAGGAACCTGAGAGGTCGTGAGAAAGGAGCGAACCCCTCGCGCGGTGGCAGGCTGCCAGGCGGCGCGGCGGGCGAGCGCGGCGGCGCGCGCGCCTCCGCCACACGAGCGCATGCCGGCCCCCGCTGACAGGCGGCCGGCAGCGCCCCAGGGCCGGCCTGATGCCGGCTGCCCGCCCGCGCGCCGCCCCGGTGCACGGCTGCCCCCGGGGGCACTTGGCGCGCCGTGGCGCAGCCGCCCTCCTGCCCCGCGGCTCCCCGTGCCAGGGGACAGCGAGCGCCGGCCAGCCGCCCGCYGGCCTTGGGCCGCGAGCCAGGCTTTAAATCCCATGGGAACCTTGGGCTGATGCGAAAGCGGCTCGGCGGCTTGGCCTGGCCGAGCTTGGCGGCGGGGAGCAGGGAGCGCGCCGCGGTGCGGGGGGGCCTGGGYGACCTTCAGCCCAGGACGTGCCGCTTTGGCCGTTGAGCAGCTCCCTGGGGATGGCTGCCGGCCCGCCAGAGCAGACCTTGTGGGGCCGGTGCTGCTCCTGCCACAGGCTCGAGAGCCGCTCGGGTCTCGCTGGAGCCCTGCGYGCTGCTCCAGGCCCCTGCTGTGACCCGGCTCCTCCAGCTTGCGCCAGCGCCGGCCTCTGCCCCACCACTGCCCCTGGGGCAGGGTGGGGTAGGGGACCTGTGATTTACAGGGGTGACATGTGTTTTACTTAAAACAAGTCAAACAAAAGCCTGGTTTGTTTTGCGCAGCGCAGACTTCCTGATGGGGTCAGCTCAGACAAATGACTCTGCTCTATTTCATTAAACATTTGTGGCCGGCCACRCCATCAGCTGGTGTTTGGGACAGTGTTCCCAGCTGAGGCGGGGTGCGCTGGGAAGCTGCGCAGCTGGGAAGCGCTGGGCGCCTCTCCCCATGCCGGCACCTTTGCAGGACGGGCGATTCCTGCGAGGACAGCGAGCAGCACGAGCGCGGCACAGCTCTGTGCTGCCCTACATGTAGGAATGGGTCCTCCTTGCTTTCTCTCTGCCCCGGGCACTGTTTTGTTTGGCTGGGGCCTGCTCTCGGCTCCTGCGGGCTCCTTGCAGTCCCCTGCCTTCTGAAGACAGAGACTTGCGGGCCCAGGACTCCCTCCCCTCCTGAGCAAGCCAGAGGATTGCTGCAAATGAGCTGGCCTGATGTGGGTGGGAAGCAGGGAATGTAGATGGGGCAGCAGCTCCGTAACAGCCTTGGGTGAAGTTTTCCCAGCCTCAGCCTGCCTGCCTCGCACAGCTGGGAGGGCGGTGGGGCAGAGTACTTGTGTGCAGGCTCAGAGGTGTGGGGCACCGTCTCACCTCGGGCACCAAGCCCCCACTTGCAGGAGATGCTCGGGCAGGTCGCTTAGGGGAGCTGCCGCCTCCCATGGCGGTTGCCAGCRTGTCGGTTCCCAGCGTGTCGGCTCTCCCTGCGGCACTCTGTGCCCCAGCACTCGCATGCACCGAGTTCCTAAGGGTTTGGGGCCAGGGCTGGAGGAGCAGGCAGTTCAGGGCAGAGTACTGTTCCCRAAGTACAGCCATGGAGGTGGGACTACCTGTAATCTTTAATGACTGGGAGGCTGTTTCCAGCTGGGATTTATTSCCAGCAAAGCCAGCTCAGCACAACT